TTTTAACTAAAACGGAAATTAGTGACGTGAGAAGAGTTCAAAAACAGCGAAAAACAGTCTCTTTTGCACTTTTAGGTTAGGATATCTCAGAAATTAAGGGTGATGGATCAATTCTGAGGCCAGATTCAGATTCAGCGTATCAAATTCCTTCTGGTACACTATTTCTGGTTTCTGAGTCGGACCTGTGTTATGTAACAAAGATAGGCACGCCATCGCCGCGCTTTTGCTACCAATTTTTTAAGCTCTCAATGATCAAAAAGGAGAGGACAAAGGAGGATAGCTCAGTAAATGATTTCGAGCACAAACTTTCTGAATTTAACGTAAAACTTATTATCACAAACAAAGCTAACTTGCAAGACTTACTATTAATACAAACTATTATAACATATTAACTTGCAAATTTTATTACTAATAAATAATATAAAAAACGCACGGACCTTATTACTAATACCGGCGGCAAACAAGTCGCGGATCACCCGACAGCAGAATCGTCTTGACTAATCGCGTTTAAAAAGACCCACTGCTCGTACAAAGAATCTTAGGTAGCCTACGAGTAAACGCCTGACTACCGAGTATTATTGTACTTAGCCTAATCTATTCCCTAGAGAGAGAGAGAGAGAGACAGAGACAGAGATTCGATTAGATTAGTTCGTTTATTGCGCCAATGACGTGGAACCCCGTCTGGCAGTTTAGAAAAGTAGAAATCAAAAATAACAAAATTTATAAAATGACAGAACGAGAGATGCAAGAATAAATATTAACGCATTTGACTATTTAAAGAAGATAAGTTTAGATAAATGCGTGAGTTGTATGTACGATGAGCAGCGAATTTACAATAGCAATAATAGTCAGGTGACTCAAAAATGTATATAAATATGAAAATACAATAAATTATGTAACATATAATAAAGTAGAAATATATATAAATTGTCAGGGAGAATCTCGGCTAGGCCGATCTCGTCCGTTTGGCTCTCGCAAATGTCCGTGCGCCGCGCCAGGTTGAGAGTGTGTACGTTTGGCACACACACTCATGCTTGGACCTTTTGTTTGCGAGGTGCTGAACACGGGCTGAGCTGACGACTGGAGCGACGCAGATGGCGCAGAAGAAGAGAGAAAGAGAGAGAGAGAGCGCTCGAATTGCGGATCGCCGCGGAAAATTTGAGAGAGTCTCTGCTAAGCAATCAGCAGAGAAAGTCGCGTGGGCGGATAAACCGAAAGGTCACGGTTTTTTCGAGTTGGCCTCGCGACCTCGCCGACGTTTGTTTCTTTCGGAGACACGCCCGGTGCGCGGACGAGTGATAGAGCGTGAGGCTGGGTCGCGCCCAGCCGTGTCCCGAAAGATACCCGGCACCGGTGCGTGTGGGTAACCGGCGAGGTGCGCGGGTGAGCGTGCGAGGAATTTGACGTGCTGCAGCGCCGAGCAACGAGGAGGCGGCAGAAACAACGGCAACAGCAATTTCTGGGAGATACGAATTGAGGCAGCTATATTGTGGAGCAAGCGAGGGGACGAGCGAGAAGACAAATAGCGACGACAACAAGTATCAGCGAGACGGTCAGCAAGGAGCACACCAGTGACGTCACACTGAAGAGCGCTCTAGCCGTCAGAGAGACTGAAGGTCGAGGTCGGTGCCGTATTTTTCTCTTGATTCTCTCTCTCTTGCATGTTTGGGCGTCAGTCTATGGCTGGTAGCACAGCAGACCTGCTGGCTACCCGTTGATAGCCTATCAGCGAAAAGTGTTTGTCGGGCATTTGTTATAATATCTAGTTTTTATAATGGAATCGGCAGGCTGACCAGCCACTGATTCACCTTCGCGTTCGCGCTTGTTATTGTGCCGCTCGTAGTGTGTAAGTCCGAGGTTGCCGTATTGTAATCGTTTGTTGACAATTAAAAGACTAGCGTATTAATCCGCTGTTGTGTTTATTCGCCGCTGTATCACTCCTCATCCCGACTTCGAATCTGTGCGTTTAACGTATTTATGCTCGACGCGTTATTCAGTCGTGGGAACGTCTTTTGCTTCCCGAATCCCCGAATAAATAATTTGTGCGGACGGTCGCGAGCAATCCAGACGGGTACGGCCGGAATTCTCCATTACAAAATAACAATATAATGAAAATAACAGATAAAACAACAATAATAACAATAATAAAAGATGAAAATAATAAAAATAATAAAAGTAATAAAAAATAATTAAAAAAAAAATAAATAATAACAACGCGATAGCACCTATTTTATAAGAAAGGACTGAAAGGAGGAGATGTAAAAGGGAAGCGACGTGCATTTGGCTAAAAACACCTAAGTTTGATTAGCTATTTAATGAACCAAAGGTCGATAGTGGGTATTTGTGGGAAGTTGGATAATTTTGGGAGAACGCGACTGGATTGACTTTGTTTGGAATACTAGTGTAATCGGAAAGTGCCGGCACTGGCATTAGGTTTTCGCGAGTCGCCTTCTCAATACATGCACTAGCCTCATAATTTAAAAACAGGTCACGTGTCCAATCCTTGAAGGCAGACATCTAATCAGTGGAGAACAGGGTTACGCTCAATGAAATGAGTATCCAAGGATAACCATGAATAAGGATAACAACTGAATGGTTCCAGGCCTCAGTTCGAGGAGCTTCGTATTCAAATGCTGATGGTGGAAGCAGGACAGACAAGTTTTTAGCTAAGTAGTGAGGCGATTTCCTAGACAATACAGAGTAGGCCAGAACGGCAAGGGCTCTATACCTATTTGATGTAAATGATAGCCAGCCTAGGGCTAATCTATGGTGGGTGATGTGGCTGTTTAAGGATAGTGAAGGTATGTATGGGATCCATCCTATTACGAAGCGTACACAGGCGTTTTGGGCAACTTGTAGTTTAGACGAGCTGAATGCAGACCACTGAGAGGTAATCGAAATATGGAAAAATGAGCCTCTCGACAAGAACTTTTCTGAGGGTAGTCGAGAGAGATTTCCTGTGGAAGCGGAGTGAAGCCAAGAGCCATATGCCCTCCTCGTCACGCTTCTGACATGTTCGGTCTAATTTAGCGTTAGAGTCAGTATCACACCCAGGTTGCGAGCGCTGATGTCATAATCGAGTGGAACCTCGTTAATGGTGATCTTCGCGATGTCATCCAAGTTACTAGCCCTAACGTACTGTTCGCTGCCCAGTATCATGACCTTAGTCTTGGTAAGATTGAGAGAGATGTCGTTTCTTAGGGCCCAGTCCGCTATAGCCTGGACATCGAGCTGCACCCTCCCCAATGCCTCCGCAAGACTGCCGGGATGACAGTGAAGGTAGACCTGCGTGTCGTCGGCATACATCATGTAATTAATGAAGGAGAGGACAGAGGGCAGGTCCGAGATATAAATTGCAAATAGCAATGGTCCCAGAATACTACCATGCGGTACTCTAGTAGCAGCCCTGAGCCAGTTCGTTACCTACCGTCCTCCTCCACAACGGCCTGAAACCTGTTAGTCAGATAGCTAATAAACCAGTTCAAGACAGTATCAGACAGGTAAAGGTCCCTGAGCTTGACCATCAGACGACCATGGAGGATAACGTTGAAAACCTTAGAAAAATCCAGCAGGACGAGGATTCTAATTTTACGTTCCTCAATGGCCCTGCGGATGTCATCAAGGACACCCAAGAGTGCAGTCTGAGTGCTGTGAAACCTCACGAAACGGTCCTGCTGTGGATCACGCAGCTGGCAGCAGTGAACCTCTCAAGCACCTTTGATAACTCGGATAACCTTGCTATCGGTCTGATGTCCGATAAAAGAGCGGGCGAAGGTACTTTGGCAAGAGAGGTGATGAGAGACCGTTTCCAGGAGGTCGAAAAAACGCCGCACAATAATGATCTGTTAACAAGATGCGTAAGAGACGAGAGACAAGTAGAAGAGACGAGTTTAAGCATCTTGACAGGCAAACCATCGGGACCGAATGTTCTGGATGAGGACGAGTTCAGTGCATCCATAACCTCCTGGCTAGTAACCTCATGAAATTCCAATGGAGAGTGAGCATGAGGAACATTTGGGGGACGCGCTAAAAGGGCGTCAAGAAAGTCCGATGTCATGGGAGGAGACGAGTTGACTATATTGGCAAAGTGGGTATTTAGTACGGCTGGGGGAAAAAATCGAAACGGGGATGGAAGAGCGCGCTTAGTGACTCCCAGGTTTCGTAACTCGCTCTATCTGGAGAGGGAGAGAGAGAGAGAGAGAGAGAGAGAGAGAGAGAGAGAGAGAGAGAGACAGATAACCATGTGTCTAACTGTCCGGGTCATTACCACAAATCTTCTTAGTTACGCGCTCGCTGCTGGGCAGAAACACGAAGGAAAGCAGCTGTCTTCATGGTGACTGGGCGTTTGTACGGGGTCAATGTAAACGTACCGTCCACGTCTTTCTCGAAGTATTCCTCCTGAAGAAGGGTCTTTCGATAACGGGCTAGTAAATCTTATAGCGTCAAACCAACTGAACGTTGCTACTTATTCTTTAATCGAAATAGAGATCAAAATTGCTTATGATTTCGATATGATCAACACCAGATCAATTCTTTTCTGTACCCAGACCAGAAATCAATTCTCAAACTCGTTAACAAAAGGACCCATATCGTTACTATTAAATATAAGATAAACTATACAAAATAATGGACACTCATAGAGAAAAGATTTATGAACTAGTAATCCGACTGCAACAAAAACTCAAAAAGCTAGAGAATGAAAATGTCCAGCTAGAGTATATGATCTCGATACAATCTTTTGGAAAGATGCTGCAAGCAAGGGTGGATCATCTTAGTAGAGCATCGGAGCGCTTCTTAAAAATTATTCATGCGCTAAAAGAAAGAAAGGCGCACTCGGACTCAATTGACTCAAATATGTTGCACCAAACAGCTAATTACATAAAACATACAGTATTGGACCTTGATTTCCCAGTGTCGACCGAGTACTTAAGAAATTGTTAAAGTTTCAAAGGTTGAAGCATTACATCGAAATGGAAGAAAATACATTGTTTTGTATTTACCTCTTGTTGGCAGGAATTACTATAATCTGTATAAACTACACTCAGTCTTGGTACCACAATCGCCCATGTCAGCCGGTAAGTCAGCATATATAAAATATAAATATCCATATTTAGCCCTAAGTTCGGACTAGAAACGATATATACAAATAGATCATCGTTCCTTAGGGGATTACATAAGGATTTATTATACCTTTATATGTTCGTTAAAAGGACCCCTACTCGACGTCAATCTCGATAGAAATTGTGAATTGAGAATAGTATCACAACCTGCAAACCAAGAACTTTATTACTGTAATATAATTATACAAAATCAACAAATGATATTATTAATATATATTAATATGATATTATTATATATTAATATATATTATTATTATGTAATGAACAATTCGTGGATATTTTCCGCCTATTAACAAGACATGGTTTGTATTGCATGTCCAAAGCGAGTGGACTAAATGATCCACATACAAGGCACATAGGAATACTAAAAATTGCACCCGTTGCATTGGGTATACTAATGATGCAAGCCTGCTGACGGAAGCTATTAATAATAACAGAAACAGCTATCTATACAAACCTAACCTAAATCTTAATTTGATCAGATTGTACCCTATATTGGATCACTTGTCGAAAATAGACATTAAATTAAAAAAATGGGTTTAGCAGTCCGGAATTCGGACTAGTCAAGAAAAGACTCTAGATGATATTACGAAAAAAGTAGAACTGATACGACAACATCAAAACATAACAGAAGAAACGATCACTAAAAACTAAAATTAGTGAACACAAAAGTTCTATAACCGATGGTATAAAATTATTCGATGATCAAGATAGATTACTTCTAATTCTAAAATATATTTATAATGATTCAGAATATTCCCTTTAATTTTAAGGACGTATATATTTTAGGCAGAGAACACAATATACAGAAAAGAAGTACTTAAAGGTGATGCACATTAATGTGATTGACAATAACATAAATGAAAAACAAGATACACAATTCTTAAATAGTAACTACAAGAAATTAAATAGTTTTATTTAAAAAAATCTGTAAAAACACATTTGATCTTAGTAATTTAAAATACTTAGAGGAATATTTGTATTGGTCAATAATTTAAATACTTAGGGATACATCTGTAAAGTATTGATTAGATAAATGGAATTGTCGCATTTCTTGTGCGCACTCCAATCATTACATAGACATACAGTTGCATGCAAAATTATCTGGCCAATCATAATCATATAATTAACTGTGGTTGAAATAGCATAAAATATTAACTTTCATATATCATTATAAAGTACATTTATTGTGCTACATTATTACATAGTTAGATAATTAAATATAACAATCAATAATTACTTATAAAACAACGAAAATTTTTGATACTTCATAAATATCCGGCCAAACAGAAATTACTTAGTAAACGAGGTCTGTCCGGAAAGTATCGGGCCTACGTTTATATCTTCGCGCCATAGTGTTCGAGCGACCTCTACCGGACAAAAACGTCAACAGTAAAGTCTCACGAATCCATTGGTTACTTACTGACACCTACCGGACGTATAGTTCATGCGCAGCGTGTCTTTGTTTACAGTGCCTTTTTCGCATTCGCCCGATTTTGATATTGTCAAAAATGACTGAAAAACAAGATCAACGAATTTGCATCAAATTTTGCTTTCAACTCGGAAAAACGAGATCGGAAATTATTGAAATGATGGCAAAGGCCTTCGGAAGCGAGTGTATGAGTAAAACACGAATAAAAGAGTGGTATAAACGGTTCAAGGATGGTCGCACTTCTGGCGATAGTGATTCTCGTTCCGGCTGACCTTCGACGACAAAAACAACAGATAATATTGAGCGGATGCGACTTGCAATCGAACAAGATCGTCGTATGACTGTGCGAGAACTAGAAGAAGACCTTGGGATAACAAAAACTATCATTTCAGAAATTTTAACCGAAAATGCTCACAGCAGAGCAGAAGAACATTCGCTTAGAAGAAATCGATCTGGAAAATCTAGAAATGGTCAATAATGATGAGAATGTGCTTAGAAAAGTTATTACACGTGATGAATCATGGGTTTATGGTTATGATCCTGAAAAAAAATGTTACGTGTTTTCTAATAGACACACACGTCGTTAGTGTCTTTTTAGCAAACGAGCGACACTATAACTCGATGTGGTGTATTGTTGCATATATGAGGCCCCGCTCACTTAACGCTCGCAAGTTAATTATTAAATATATTTTACGTAAAGTATATTTATGGGACATAATTATAAAAAAAAATCAAATAACTGGAATATATTTATATAGAGGTTCTCCTACTACTATTGCAAATATAGGCACGATTATTTATATATGTATCATAAAGTAATTATATAGGTCGAAACTCTCATTAGTCTCGACTCTACTGGTTAAAGACGAAGGTATTAGCTGTAGTAATAGGGCTGCAATTTAAACTATTGGAAAATTATTCGTAACAATAAATATACTACTAGATTTATATATATTTCCGAACTACAGGTAATAATTTATTCGTTAAGGAAATTTCTCTTGAAGCCGATTTATCGTTGATTTAACTATAATTATGTAAAGTTCGAATTAAAGCTTACTCAAGAGTTTTAGCAACTTGGAACCGAGCTCGTCAAAATATTGTAGACGTACTATTTATCCTGTACACATGCATATCATGTTATCTGGGGACGTGCTTAATTTTTAAATACTTCGTCAGCGTAGGCTATAATGCTATGTAATTGAGAAGATCACATTACGCTGGTACGACCGGTATTTATGATAATAAATGAAAAGAGTCGCGAGAGCAAAATACCAAAGCCAAAATAATTAAGAATTTCACGAACGCATACACATCTACATATATATATATATATATATATATATATATGTAGTTATACACAAAATGAATACGTGGAAATTTGCCAAATGGTAATTATTCCAAGTATTATTATTATTATAGAGAAATAGGTAAGAAGAAAACAAGTTTACACTAATGAACCTTGAGTTACTTACTTGTTAAATGTTTATTTATTATTATTATTAGTAGACTTGTCCTTGAATTTATATAGTTATATAAATATGTATATTGTTAAAATATTCGTCCAGGAAATATAATCCTTTTATTTTTGCTGGTCCTTATAATAACTGTTATCCTTGTAACAAGTAATTGTGCTGGAATTGGTCTGATCGTACGCTGTATACGTATATATATATATATATATATATATTTAATAATAATGCGTTAATAAACGCCGTTACTTTCGTCGCGCGTATACGTTAATCGCTGATAGGAAGAATATAAATATACTGATTTTAGGAATTTAACGATAAATAAAAACTGATTGACAAAAAAACTGAGATCAAAACTGTATGAAAAGAACTGAATAAAACTGTACGTAAATCTGAAGAGAATTATGGTGTGTACGACTGGTCGTGATTAGCTCTGGCACGAGACTGGCGTGTCAGGCGTGGGCGATACAGTCATGCCGCGCGAGAGTGTTACTACGCCGTCACTGCATTACTACGCGGCCGCCGAACCGCCCACGCGTGCTTAACGTGTACAATTAATACGCGCGGCGTAATTATACATAATACTAATACATATAAGTTTTACATTACATTAATACATATATCAGGATTAAGTGAATTTTAAAAGTTGTCACTTAACACAAAACAACAATCTTTACAGTGGAAGCATTCTGTATCGCCAAGACCAAAAAAAGCACGTCAAAGTTGGGGCAATGTTAAGTCAATGTTGATTGTTTTTTTCGATTGTGAAGGTGTTGTACATCACGAATATGCACCAACAGGTCAGACAATCAATAAAGGATACTATGTTCAAATTTTGAAAAGTTTGCGTGATGTAGTAAGAAGAAAATGGCCGCACTTTTGGGAAAGTGGTGACTGGCTTCTCCATCACGATAATGCGCCAGCACAGTCATCCAATCTTGTGCAGCAGTCTTTGAGCAAATACAATATCGCATTGCTACGACAACATCCATACAGTCCCGACATAGCTTATGATGACATTTGGCTGTTTCCCAAACTAAAAAAACCACTCAAAGGATACCGTTTCGATGACAAAACAACGTTTGAAAACAATTCGACGACTGTATTTAAGGCTAGCCCTAAAAGTGAGTTCCAGGACTGTTTTGAAAAGTGGAAACATTGATGGAACCATGTTATTCAATTAAGTGGGGATTACTTTGAAGGATGCCACCCAGATGATAAAGAATAACGCTAGCACGAAAATATAAAGGTAGGCCCGATACTTTCCGGACAGACCTCGTATGTAAAAAAAACTTGCAAATAAATAAAAGGATTCACGTTTTTCATCAATATATAGTAGCCACATCCTTTGCAGCTAGAACGGCAGCACATAGATGAGGTATCGATTCAATCAATTTTATAATTCGTTCTTGAGAGATATTTTGCCATTCTTCTTGAACTTTTACCCACAAATCAGCTTTAATTGCACAAGTTTCAATCTCTCTTTTTAATTTTAATTCTTGCCATAAGTGTTCTATAGGATTTAAATCCGAAGATTGACTTGACCACTCTAAAACACTGACTTTTTTCTAACAAGGGAACCACCCCAACCCGACCTTACCGATTTGAATGATTTTGGGATATGTTGTAATACTTGAAAAAAAATTAGATACGTGTTTTTTTTATCGGCCCATAAGGGCTTTTAAGGGGTGAAATCCGCCCTGAAAATCAACCCCTAAAATCAGTTTTTTTATATTTGTCAGCATCAAATGAATATTTTTCAGTAAACTCAACGTTAAAAAATTTCTTATAAAAAGGCGCTTTTAAGGACATAACATTTATACCGAAGGGTTGCAACCCGCTTTTTAATAGGGGTAAATACACTATTTTTTGTACTGTTTTACGACATGTAATACAGTAAATCAGCTCGAGTGATTTAAAAATCGCACTGATAATGAGAAAATACCAAAATTAAATTGACATGTTTCCTGATTGAAAAAAAAAGATATTTAAGGGGTGTTTCACCCCCTAGAAACCACCTCCGTCAAACTATCAGCAGGATAATCCACCTAACCCTGGTATAAACAAGTTTAGTCGTTTGTTATTTCTTGAAATAATTGAATTTTACACCATAAGCGAGTTATCCCACCTGATTCACATACATCTTATCCACCTACCCCTAACCTATCTAACCTACACCCTTATAAACCACCCTTACCGAACAACATGCGGGCTAACCTTATATAAATAGCGAAAAATAAATGTAT